AGGACATTGTAATGGTATCGAATGTTTATTAATTACTATTTAAAAAATGAAAGTGATGGGGAAAAAGGTCGATCATATTTTTTTAACCCTGTCTGTCGAGTGACTGTTTAGCTTGACGCCTGATATATATATATATATATATATATATATATATATATATATATATATATATATATATATATATATATATATATATATATATATCCATGCCCTGATGTGGGGCTGGAGGGTGCGTCGACGTGGTCGGGACATGGAAGGGGGTGCGTGGCTAAATACGTTTGGGAACCACTGTTTAGCCAATAGGGATGGCAGATTTAAATTCAAACGCAGTGCAGAGTTTTTACCTGACAACGGCACAGCACTGACAGTTTTGGGCAGAAAGTTAAAATTTGAACTAAGATGCACTAAAGTACAAAACTGTTGACTACACGTGTCTGCAGCACGATTAGACACGCGTTTATATAGTTTATCAGCAAAAAAAAGTAGATTTGGGGGTGACTTGCTCTTTAAAGACTCATTGTCACTTAAATGGTTGTGAATAAACCTGGATGAGTTCATTTAAGTGAAATACTTTTGTTTTCCTTTCAACGCAAAAACAAAATAATTACAAAAAAATTCAAAAATCAAACCTGACTTTATTGTAATGTGCTTAGACTTACAGCAGGTGGCAGTAGAACATGTGAATTCATCATTTCAACCAAACGGGAGCAGAGTAAGAGCAGATAAATAAAAACAGACTGTTATTTTACAGCGTTTGCATCATTTAGGAGGTTTATTCTGTCTAAACTGCACATCGGCCTTTAACTGACTGGAGCGAGAGGTTGTTGTGTCACCAAAAGAAGACGGTTATGATGAAAGGATTAAAGAAGGTTTCATCATTTCCCACTGATCAAAGTTGCATCAGTCGGAGCTGTCCTTGCACAACAAAATGTATTTCTAACTTGTTGCGCTGCAGAATTTTCCCTCCATTCTAATTAATTTTAGAGAAATGAGTAAAGTTAAAAAAGGAGGCCTGTAAATGTAGGAGCTTGTGTTTAAGACCCATCTAGTGCATGAGGATATAAATGTTGCATCGCTGCTCAGACTTGACCTTTGGAGCATAACAGTGCTGTTGTCAGTCAGAATGGAGCAAACGTGGCCCACAGAACAAAAAGACTGCACTGTCAGCTCTGTTCCTGCAAAACGTGGCTCACCAGGGAGGAAAACACACCTGCAGAAGCTTCAAGATGGAGGCAGAATATCACACAGGCTGCAGCTTAGATTTTACAGAAGCTTTTCTTGACATGTTGCTCCGTTTTGGAGAGGTATCAAAGAGGATGTACAAGATCCAGAAGAAAAGCCATCTCTTTTGCACTCATACATGCAAAGTGGCGTTTTATCTCACGTGCACGTGCTCACGTACACGGCAGCTTGAGCAGACCCCCGGATGTGTCAGCGTTGGGCTTCGGTGGAAAGACCCCAGCAGGGCTGTGCAGGAGTTCACGCTTACATTTACTGAATAAGCACCAGAGCACCTAGTTCCATAAGTCCCTGGTGGGCACAAAGCATCATGTGCTCTGGGAAGAAAACGCCCCCCGCAGCTGTTTTTTGTCCCAGGTTGCGACCCCTCCTCACCCCTATTGAGCCCAGCTTTGCCCCATAACAACACTGTTTACACGAGCGAGCGTCCACCCAGACGAGGCCATGCGGGCGTTTCTGTTGTCCAACAGTTACTGTTCAAACCGGGCCTTTCCCACACAAACAACAGAACTCCTCATGTTTACAGAAGCCTGCCAAATAAGCAACGGACATTGTTTCGCAGGTAAAGACAAATAATACAGCTGCTGAAGAGCTAACGTGGCTAATCCTGTCAGAAACCGACAGAAACAACGTTTCCTTTATTTGATGTCGCTTTTAACTCTCATCGGGTTTTGTAACTAAAATGTGATTTCATGGCAGAACTGAGAGTTCATGCACGTGTAGTCACAGAGGGCTGCTCTTGTGCTGCTTAGAGCTCCACCCACCTTAATCACAGAGTCTGGAAACACAGGGAGGGTCCCAACTCCTCATTTGGGAGGGGATCAGTGTGTGTGTGTGTGTGTGTGTGTGTGTGTGTGTGTGCGTGCGTGCGTGCGTGCGTGTGTGTGTGTGTGTGTGTTCAGTGGTAATCCAGGGCTGGAACTAAAGATTTACGGCTCCTGTGATAAACCCCACTCTTAACTTTTTTTCCAAACAGCAAGCGGAAAATAAGATGATGTAATAATTAAACTTTTAAATCATTTTTATTTACAATAAAACTTCCAAGGCGGACAGCAGATTTCAGGCGCCGCTCAACCCAGAGTAAAAGCATGATTTTATTCTGTAAATGAACTTTTGAATGTAAACTCCATTCGCGGTCCACGCAGGCGTCATTCTAACTCTCTTCCTTCAGGAGCGCAGCTTCAGTCAGAAACATGCGCTTAACCGTTTTTTCATACCAGTGTTGGATTTCTTCTGTCTGACGAGTCATTTGCATATCTACAACCCTCAGAATCACCTGGTTTCACCTGTACAACCGTTGCTGAACATTTGGTCAGTTACAATAAAGATGTGAAGATTCACAAAAACGTCACTGCTGATTAACTTCTTCTACCCAAAAGCAGGTTTGTATTTTGCTTCATTGTCCATCTTGATCCTAGTCAGCAGGCGGCAGTTGGGTTCTCCTAAAATGTTCCATTTCATTATGACCGTCTCGCTCCATGTGAAGCTTCAGATCTTCTTAAAGAGCAAGTCACCCCCAAATAAACTTTTTTTGCTGGTAAACTATATAGATGAGTGTCTGGTCGTGCTGCAGATACGGTGTAGTCACTAATTCTGCACTTTAGTGCATCTTAGTTAAAATTTAAACATTCTGCCTAAAACTGTCAGTGTTGCACCGTCGTCAGGTAAAACCTCTGCACTTCATTTGAATTCAAATCTGCCGTTGCGATTGGCTAAGAGGTACATTATGATGTTAGATGGTACATTATGATGTCACAATGTCATGAGTGTGTGTATTTGTTAGCGGCTCCACCCTCTCGGTCTGCTAGGCAACAGCGTTTGTTTCATTTTTCAAACAGGAAGTGGGAGTTGAGTAAGAATCTGGTAGGGGGTGACTTGCTCTTTAAGTGTTCTTCAGAAGTACTACAGCACGTTATGAGAAGACGTCTGAGCTCACGGCTCTGTCTTAGGGTACCGATGTGAACACGATTTGAATTTCAAATGCAGATTGATAGAACTTTTTTTTAACTGCCAACATTCGACTCGTTTTCTCATCCTCTGCTTTTAATCCTCTAGAGGAATTTAGAAAGATGTGAGGATGAGGAAAACTGCTTGTGAAGATGTTTTTAAAGAGCAAGTCACCCCCTACCAGAGTGTTACTCCACTCCCACTTCCTGTTTGAAAAATGCAACAAATGCTGTTGCCTAGCAGACCGAGAGGGTGGAGCCGCTAACAAACACACACACACACAGGCTCACAACGACATTGTGACATCATATGGTACCAGCTTACGTTCTAGGGTACCTCTTAGCCAATAGCGATGGCAGATTTAAATTCAAATGCAGTGCAGAGTTTTTACCTGACAACGGTACAACACTGACAGTTTTAGGCAGAAAATTTAAATCTGAACTAAAATGCATTAAAGTGCAAAACTATTGTCTACACGTGTCTGCAGCATGATTAGACACACATTTATATAGTTTATCAGGAAAATAAAGTTGATTTGGGAGTGCCTTGTTCCTGTTATCACATTATTGTGGGCTGAACTTTTAACTCAACAGTAACAGAAATATCCGGGTACTTCCCTGAAGCCACTGTGGTCCCTGTCTGATGATGGGACATCCCCAAATGATTTTCCAAGTCAGGAATAACTCTGTGGTGCTCGTCAAAGAGCACAACATGAACTTTCTTCATCTTTGTGACATAAAGAAAGTCAACAGGAAGTATAAAGAAGTACATGGTTCCTTTGCTTTGACCTGCTGGATATTAAATAGAGCGCATCCTGTTTGGAAGTCCTGTTCTCCTGTGCTTGCCTCCATGTAAACCGAGTGGATCACTTTCTCTTATGTTGTTCCTGCTGTGCCAGTGAGGCTTTGCAAACAGGCCGCTGTTTGCTCTGGCTGCTGCTTAGGTAACAAGCTACTGTGCAAAGAAGTGAGACAGCAGCTGTGGCCAGATCCTGCAAAAATGGGAATTCCTGTTTAACAGCACAGAGGAGCTTCAGGAATGAGAGCACGCTTGGGAAGGAGCTTCTTCTGTGCACTGAGCCCTGTTGACTTTAGAGGGGGAGCTGGCATTTGCCCTCTGCTGACACGGTGCAATAAGGAGCTGTAAATGCTGTAAACCTTCTGGATGATCTGGTCGTTTCTTCACAGGCTCTGTGTGCAGTGAGCTGAGCAGCTCAGGTCAAATGTATGCATCCGTTTTTTTAACCACATCCTCTTGTTATCATAAAGAAGCAGTTCTGTCAAGTCCCATTTGTTCTTGATTACTAGAATGTTAAATTATTGTATTGTCATGCAATCGTTTTCTTTTAAAGATGACATTTTGTTGTTTAAACCTGCCCAAATAAACAAACAAGTGACTTTTCCCAGTATTTTTGTAAAGAAAGAATCACTACAGTAAGGCGTGGTAAAGTACCAGTAAAGTGTGGTAAAGTACCAGGTTAGACAACATCACAATGTCTCATTGGTTTAGTTACATCCATGCATGTAAAGGAATGACAGGAACAGGAAAATTAACGTTCCAGGGAAGGTAACGAGAGGCGTTGAGCTGGACTCGCCTCCTCTGAAGCATCAAGAATGAGGAAACTAAGAACAGTCAGTTCAGGAACTGGAGAAAAGTCAACTTAGGTGAAAATGTTTTTCATGATGACTAAAAGTTATTAGTTTTTAAATATGCAGCCATAAATCTGATAATTTGGGTTTATGTTTTGGAGATCATCATGAAATGTCCTTTAAAGTCAGATGAAATAGTTCTGAACACCTAAGCAGCAGAAAAAGGCGGATTTTAAATCAGAATAATTATAAAATCGTGTTTTGATCGGAGCAGAAACTGATGAAACAAAAACAAACACAAACAGACGCTTTTTCTACTTCAGATGAGGAATTACATCAGCTTCTTGACCAATCACAGCTCATTATCAGATGACGTCAGAGCCTCCACGACCAATCCGGCGTCACCACGACGGTAGAAAAGATTGCAGTCGCATCCCTCCTCAGCAGTTGAGAAGAATCGGGGATCGAGTTAACGGGGAAAACTTCCGGTTTCTGCAGAGTTTATCACGGACTCCCGGTGACAACGGAATATTCTAGCATGGTGGTGGTAACAGCGGGGACCGGCGGAGCCCACAAAGTGCTCCTGATTTCCGGGAAGCATAACGGCTCGCAGACGGCCTTCAGCCGGCCGATCTCCGTGGTCCTACCGGCCAGCCAGGTCTCGTCGGACTCGGACTCCAACACGTCTGCGGGGCCGCCGGTTCGGAAACGGCAGAGACTGACACACTTGAGCCCAGAAGAGAAAGCCCTTCGCAGGTTTGTGTGTTTAAACACGTGAGTGACGTTAAAAGCGTCAACGACGCCATTGTTCGTGGCCTTTAAACGGAGACACGCCCAAAGAGCTCGACTCACGTTTATTAAAAAGTCCAAAAGGGTCCGTTTAACAGCCGAACCGGCTCTCGAGGAAGTTAAATATCACCTCATGACGGCCGCACTTAGACCGGAGCCATAAATCCGCTGTCCTGGCTCGGTTCGGGTCGAGTCCGCCCCTCGGATCAGGGCTGCGGTGTCTGCGTGGCAGGAACATGGCCGCAGGACCCCGAACCTCAGCACCCAGCAGCACGGAAGTCACGCGCTAATCCTCCCACATTTGTCTTCCCCTTCCCCAGGAAACTCAAGAACAGAGTGGCAGCCCAGACGGCCAGAGACCGGAAGAAGGCCAAGATGGGCGAGCTGGAACAGCAAGTCATAGAGTTGGAGCTGGAGGTACTAATAATAATAATGATGATTATTATTTTAATGAATAAAAGACTCATAAATATTACTCTTCTTAATCCAACACTAATTGTTCTGTTTGCAAGAGTGCTACAAATTAAGTTTTGCCCTTTGACCTCTGCGCTCCTCACCAGCAAACCCCTTCCACACTTTCCGTTACAGCGTGGCGAGTTTCACACGAACATCTGTTTCCTCCCACAGAATCAGAAACTTCACATCGAGAACCGGCTGCTGCGAGAGAAAACGAGCAGTCTGCTGACCGAGAACGAGGAACTGAGACAGAGACTTGGGTTGGACGCCCTCGACTCTAAACCAAAGGTAGGATTATTTGGCAGAGTTGAGATTCGGCTGGCGTAATTTCAGGGATTTGCTGTAAAACCTTCACGGTTTTTTAAAGGTCCAGGCTCTGTTGTCCAACGGGAATGACGCAGGATTGGGGATCGGGTCTTCTGAGTCCGCAGCACTCAGGCTACGTGTGCCTCCGCAGCAGGTGCAGGCCCAGCAATCCCTAAATCTGAAGACTTCTCAATGGATACGGATGGTCCTGACTCTACAGACAATGAGGTGAGTGTCCAACGGGACTCGTAGCGTACGGTTCGTAAATCCCAGGTCATGGAGTACTGGGCTAATCTGCTCTTCCCGTTTCTCCCACCACCAGTCTGATTTGCTACTGGGCCTTCTGGACATCCTTGACCCAGAGGCGTTCCTTAAGTCTTGTGAATCAGGGTGCAAGGAGCCGCAGGTGCTGCTGGTTGGAGGGGGGGACCCAGTACCTGCCGCCTCACCTACATCTCTGGGGGCCTCATCAGTTAAGCTGGAGACCCTTAATGAACTGATTCACTTTGACCACATCTACACCAAACCAGTGGAGGAAGTGAGCGACTACTTGGAGAGAGACACGAATCAGAAGATGAGCGAGGCTTCCTTCTCAGCCGTGGTGGTGGGGGAGGAGGAGGTCGTCTGCATCAAAGACGAGCCGGAGGAAGAGGTCATCCCGACCTGTGACGATGAATGTCAATCGGATGACTTCTTCCCCGGAGACTCCTCCCCTGCCCCAAGACAACTGGAGAAGGAAGCCTGCCTGGCGGACTCCTACAGCGACTCTGGATATGAGGGGCCTCCTTCCCCTTTCAGCGACATGTCCTCCCCCTTGTGTCCCGACAGCTCCTGGGAGGACATCTTTGCTAACGAACTCTTTCCCCAACTTATCAGTGTCTGAATTCAGCTCCTCTGCCCAACAAGTTTCTAATCGACATACTGTAAATACACACGAAAGCTAATGTGTAGATACTTTAAAGACAGTTTTAGTAGCACAGAACCGCTTTTAACCGGTTCTTGTATAGAACCATTACAGCAGGCCTGTACTGCCAGACAGACGGCTAATTTTGGCAACGTTGGACGAGGATGTAAGGTTGCCAACTAATCTTTCACCCGCTCAGAGTAAAGTGGGTGGTTTCCAGTATTTGTACATTTGTTTGTGGGATTGGGGACCCATGATGACTTCTTACACTTTATTTATTTGTGTATCTGCTTCAGAGTCGTGTCCGCATGTAAAGTTTCTCTTCAAATTTTTGCTCACTCCTTGTAGTCTAATCATGGCAATTAAAATTTTTTTTTTTGCATCGCACCCTTGTGTCTTTTATAGGTTTAATGTCTTCAAAAGGTGGATTTTAGGCTGGAAAAATGTTAGCTTTGCAGATGAGATGGAGATTGTTGCTGCTTTAAAATAAAACTGGATTCTTAAGTGAAGCAAAAAATATTTTCCATCCCTAAAAAGCTCAATGAAGACTGCAAGTTTGGTGCAGGAATATCTCCAGGCAGGATCAGGGGTGGTTCTAGACTAGTATTACAGGGGGGGCAGCTGCTCTGTTCGAGACTAATAGTTATAAAAAAAAAAGCAAACTGCTTTTGGGTATTTAAAATATTAGTGTGTAATATAATTCAACTTAAGACAAAAGCTTCTCAACAAGAATTTTTTTTAGCAAAAATGTATTTTAAGTAGGAACTTTTCTCTACTAAATGCTTCATGTTTTAGTTCCACATCTTGCATTTGGCAAAATTATAATGAAAAGCACAAACTTATAAATGCTTAAACTCCACCCACACTGGGAGGGGGGGCACTGGCCCTCCAGAGACCCCCTCTAGAACTGCCCTTGGGCCGTGTCAAAATGTAATGGATAAACTAACACAAGCCAGAATCTGTCGCTCCACTCCGTAATGACGGAAAAATCCCATTTGTAGGCGTCTCAGACCTAAACTAGGAAGGAAGCTACTGAACTACGCTTGCTCAGGTCAACGTTCAGCCCAAAACAAAAGCATCTGTTCAATCAGGAGTTTCAGTCTTCGTGCTGTGAAGTTTGTTTCCTCTGACGGGAGAAACTTCAGTAGCGAGGTGGAGTCGTGTCAGTCTTAGCTTACCAACACGAACAGGTCAGAGGCTTTATTAAAGTTTTTCCTTATCGGGACTTTGGTCTTAATTACAGTAAAGTCTGGGATGGTTTTAGTGATTTATCCCACCGGGTGGACAAAGCCCCTCGGAGCCGGCTGCTGTGTCAGATTCTTCTGCTGCAGGCCCAGGCTGCCCACCTCTTTTCATTCATTTCTGTTATTTTTATTACTGTTTTCAGTTCGAATAGATAAATCACCTCCAAATTGGTCAAATCAGCACTTTCATCGACCTGTCTTGTGGCTGGTTAAGAAAAAATACGGCGGCTTGACGGCGCTGACGCTACTCTGAAAGAGTTTGGCGAAACTTGGGATTTCCCGTTGCGCTGGAGCAGAAAAAACCACAGAAAAGTGAATCATCCTCACAGCTGCGGAGCTGAAACTGAGACATATCTGCCAGAGTGATCACATTTCCATTTCAGGTGAACGATTCAGCTGCTTTTGTGATTTGCGTGTTTCAGACACAGGCTTTCTGCTTCATGCATGAACGTTCTGGTGCTGCAGCAGCTGGAGGTTGTGCCTCACATCAGGGAAACGGGATGCTGAACCTTAATACCTCACACACGGATCAGTGCCAGATAATCACACGGCCAACAGAAACACACACATGCTACTGTTTGGGAACAGTTGCAGACTTGGACATTTAGTCACATGATTTTTAAGGAGATATGTAGATTTTTGAAGTCCACTACAGCTCCTAGCACCAGTTCTCTGATATGGCTGCTAATCAAGCATATCAATTCTGTTGGTTCTGGTAAAATATGAAAAAAAAGGGACCTAAAGAAACCTGACTGGAATAATTTTAACCCCTAAAAAATCACCTCCAATGGTGCAAATATGTCTGTCATCAACAGAAAACCCGAAGGCTAACTGCAAAGACCTTCCTGAAGACAAAAGACACACAAAGAAGCTTCGCCTTGCTGTTATCTGAGGACGTGCCTCTAAAATATGATCTGCATTTCACCGTTGGCAACAATTCACTAGTCTGACCAGGAGAGACGGTTGGAAGTGGAACACGGCATTCCTGTGTTCGGCCCCGATGGGGCAGAATCACAAAAGGGCTTTGTGTCTGCTACAGGCGAAGAGAGCAGAAACAGCAGATCGGCTCCAGGACAAAGATGTTTAACAGTTAAAACACAAAAGCAAGAAGAAAGAAAAGGTGCAGTTCCTTCTAAAACCCTCTCCTATACTTGATTCTTTGCTTATCTCAGTTTGAGGCCAAAATCTGAAAGTTTAAAAATAACTTTAAAGAGCAAGTCACCCCCAAATCAACTTTATTTTCCTGATAAACTATATAAATGTGTGTCTAATCGTGCTGCAGACACGAGTAGTCATTTAGCACTTTGGTGCATTTTAGTTAAAAATTAAATTTCCTGCCTAAAACTGTCAGTGTTGTGCCGTTGTCAGGTAAAAACTCTGCACTGGATTTGGATTTAAATCTGCCATCGCTATTGGCTAAGAGGTACCCTAGAACGTTAGCTGGTACCATATGATGTCATAATGTCGTTGTGAGCCTGTGTGTGCGTATTTGTTAGCGGCTCCGCCCTCTCGGTCTGCTAGGCAACAGCATTTGTTGCATTTTTCAAACAGGAAGTGGGAGTTGAGCAAGAATCTGGTAGGGGGTGACATTTATGCGTTAACAATAATGGTGCCGTTAATAAAGGGACCCGTTGTTTTTTAAAGGTGCAGCATATAAGAATAGAGTGAGGTGACATCTTGTGGTCAAATTGGGTTACTGCGGTTACCTTCTCACCCACTCCTTGAGTTTCATGGCTGTTGCCAGTCACAGATCAGTGCCAGAAGATTCTAGCCTGGCAAGCCAGACTAAATAAATGTATTATTTAGTCTGGCCATGCTCCATTGACGGCTCTCAGTTGTGGGGCGGGTTCTACCGTTGTCTTTCAAATGATCTCCGCATTCCACTGGACAATGAATGTGACATACTCTTGTTTCACTCTGTTGCATCATCCCACCCACCAGGCATATAGAGTGCCCTGATTGGCCCACAAAGCGGATAAAGCTCTGTGATTTGTTCACTAAGCAGATAGAGCACTATGATTGGCCCACCATTATGGACCAATCACAGCTCTTTATGTGTTTGAAACCATCTAGAGAGCTGTGATTGGCTAGCCAGAGTCCTGGTAGGAGCTGCTGAGGTTCCAATGGAGCGTGCCTAGACCAAACTTTGCAAAGCAAGAATTTGGTCTAGTTCACTAGGCTAAGAAGATTCTAGATGACGAGCAAAGACGAGTAAGGTTGATAAGTAGATAAATACGTTTTTAAATCTGGTGTTGGCACTCTTGGGTGTTTTACAATAGGGAGCACTTACTACAGTTATTACGGTAATGTGCCTCTGGCATAGAAGAACTGCTGTTTTTACCGTCTGGCTGATCGTAGCTTGCAGTTATTGAACTGAATGACTAATCTAAGGAAGTTCACTTCACACATAGATAATCCTGTAACATTGAGTTGGTGGTGATTCAAAAAGTAATGCGAGATATTTTTAGAGCTGACCATTTTGTAATTCACCATTAGCATTGTTAGCTGAGCGTTAACCTAGCCTTCTTTACCTGATATTAGAGTAAAACAAAAAGATGTGGCTTCTTTTGGGTACACAAAATAACTTTTGGTTCGCTTTTGTTATTGATTTAGATTCTTTAAACAAACCGGTGGCATTTTCTATGGCTGTGGTTGAGCCACGAACGCTGGTGCTGCAGCGTTAGCTCGCAGGAGATAGGGCAACAGTAGCTACATCCCTCCTAACTTTGTTTTGAAAGGAGAAAAACGGACAATCCCCCGCAGCTGGCTGACAAGGAAATATGTTTCAGTATAACCTTCTTCCAACATGATTGAAACATTAGACTATTTTGGGATTATTTCACTGTAGAAATCTTACTTTATCCTAAGACACTGCATTAATGCTGAATAATGCGAGTTTTTAAAAAGATCCGTTTTCGTCTGAAAAAAAAACTGCGTTTTCGTGTGGATGGCAGGCCAAAACGTAGAAACATATCTACGTTTTGGCAGATCCCCGGCTACGTGTGGACAGGGCCTAAGTCTGCCCCTTTTCACCACCTGAAGCCGCCTTTATTCTGGACGTTGAAGCTTAAATTAGAGTCCGACATGTCATGCTGATATGTCACTTAAGCACGGATTTGTATAAACCTTTCAGCAGGTCTCAAATTACTGGGCTCAGCAGAATTATAAAGAGGATTGCTAAACCTACACTGGCAGCTGCCTCTTGGGTGTGTGCAGGTTTACAGCCGCAGCTTTTCCTTCAACCAAACAAAATCCACCCTAACCGAAAAGGCTCGATGGAGCAGAAAAAGAGCAGCTGATTAAACAGTTTAAGGACAAAATGAGACGTAAAGCAAACAAGAGGTCAAGGCAGCCAGAGGGGCCCATCAGGAGTCATGTGACGCGTTTCTCATGTGAGGGGTAAAGCTAAAGGGTGCTAATCTTAGAGAATCCAGCCGTCTGAGCCAAATATGGATTGATGTTGCTCAAATGTCCTCTTTGCTCCATCTTCTTTAAGAAGCCAACAAGTCTAGGGGCCGAGGAAAAAGAGTCCTCTTCATCAGCTGTGAACGGAAACTCTTGGTTTCTTTTCACCGACATGAAGCGATGCCTTTTCTGGTGTGTGTTAAAGCAGAGTTTGCTGCACCCTTTCACGGTTTAAAGAGCGGAAGTGAGGCTCGCTAATCCTGTCTTCCAGCTTCGGAGGGTGTGTGTCCGTTTCTGTGATGATTAAAAGCAAGAAGGCCTCATGCCTGGCGTGTTTTTCAGGATTCTGATTGTCTTAAACAGCAGAAACAGTCGTCTAGATGTTTTTCATTACAACAAAACCTCCACAAGCTGTGACTCAAGTGTACATTTCTCTACCTTCGTTCTTGGGGTTTGAGAAAAAGAAACCAGTGACAACCAGAGGCCAAGACTTCCCTCTCCTCAGCCACTTGGGCCAGCTCCTCCGGGGGAATCCCAAGCGATCTCTGGCCAGCTGAGAGACGTAGAAGAAGAAGAAGAAAATATCTCTTCTAAAGCGCCTCTCAAGATAAAAATCACGAGGTGCTTCACAAAAACAAAAAATGTAAAAATATAAAAAAGCATTTAGAAAATGTTTGAAAATATATTTAAAATGAGCAAAAATAGACAATTGTGATTAAAACATGTTAGAAAGAGAGA